TGTTTGGTATTGCTTTTTTAAGCTGCTGTAATCACAATTCCAGCTATATATACACAGCAATGAACCTTAAAAAATTGACATTTTGAACGTTCAGAGAATGTTCAGAAGTAATGTTTTCATAAATAAATGGAAATTTTAGCAACACATTATTAGAACACATGTTTGTAAGTTGGGATGATGTAAAAGTTAGACAAAAGACATTAACAAAGATAACTGAACTGGAATCATTGCTTTAAACCTAACCACTATGATACAATCCAATTCAAGCTTGTCATCCAGAAGCAATCATTCATGACAGACATTTAGGCATGTCTTTAACATCCATTAACATTCACTAACTGCTTCCCTTGTCAAACACAAACTTGTTCACAGGAAGCACTTTGCATATCAGAGGTGTTTTTTTCAGAAAGAGCCCAGAGACCTGATCATCCACAACAGGAATTTCCTCTTGTTGTGAAGAGGCCGCTGTTTGAGTGAGGGCTTTCTGTCTGCATGTGATGGTGTGGGGTGGTCTGGATTAATCCGAGACTGACAGGCACCCCCACAGGCAGCTTTTGGCCTCACAACCACTGCCACATCTTCAAAAAGCCCAAGTCAAGGGCTAGGAACTTTCCATCCACTGAGGCTAATCTTTGCTTAAACCCTCTTGAAATACCAGGACAAGAGGCAGAAAGAAACATCTGCAAAATACTAAGGATGGAACTGCATCAAAGAAGACCTGACGGAATAAAAAGGGACAAATGATGGACACTTTAATAAGGATGCATGTATGAGATCTACATTCAACGAAGATGTATTGAATGGGTTTGAATTTTGACTAAAAACAATCAACCCATTCTAAGGTAGTTGGGTTACAAGAGAAACACTTTTGAAAAGTAGATGGCTGGATAAACTAATAATAAACAATCTAATTTACAGCCCCCATTAGTCTGCTTTAATGCAAAAATAGATTAAATGAAAACCACTTTTCTGTTATCCCATTAAGAAGCTCTTACTTCTGTCAGTATCTAATCAGGCCTTTGGGTATAGTGATACCAACAGAGCTTTGAACACAGAGGTGTTTGGCTTGGGAAACAAACTTATAACTGAAAAATTGGCCATGATTGACTGTCATCTTTAAATGGGACACCCACAGACTGTCTGATGTTGACTGCATGGTCAAATATCAACAGTACTATCACAATCGAATTGGCCGGCTTCTTGCTACTTCTATGAGTCAGAGTGCACACATGTGTTTTGGTGAATCTCATATATATTATATTATATAGTATATTTTGCATGAAAACAAAGCCTGTTTTTAAGACTGTTAAGAATTTTTGCATTATGACATTTTCATTATCGTTAAGCACATTCCCTCCCTCGAATTCTCATTGATGCAATGTAATGCAATGTAACGCAAAAATAAAACAAATAAAAAATAGACAAACTACAATAGACTTATATATAATATAACACACTTTAATATTTTTCTTCATGCCATTTTGACATGGGAATCCAGTCTTCAGGGCATCCATCAAAGCTTGTCCAGCATGATTTCCTGAATAGCAGTGGACACAACATTCAGGCGTGGACTTTTGATTTCTGGTTTGGCAGAAAAAGGTTCAATTTTATGGCTGCATGTGTAAATCAGCAGAGTTCATTTCTAAAATGCTGTGACACCACAGCACAACCCAAACCATTTCAATGTCTCTGTCTATGGTCGTAAGACACACACAGACATTGTTTATTGCATAAGACTTTAAAAATATGTTTTATTCAATAATATTTTGCTTGAAAAAGTTCACCTAAAAATTTAAAAAAAAAAAATTTGCTATCCATGATGTAGATGAGTTTGTTTCCTCTTCAGAACAGATTTGGAGAAATTTAGCATTACATCACTTGCTCACCAGTGGATCCTCTGCAGGGAATGGGTGCCGTCAGAATGAGAGTCCAAACAGCTGATAAAAACATCACAATAATCCACAAGTAATAAACACCACTCCAGTCCATCAATGAACGTCTTGAAGTGTTTGGACTCTCATTCTGACGGCACCCATTTACTCTAGAGGATCCATTGGTGAGCAAGTGATGTAATGGTAAATTTCTCCAAATACGTTCTGAAGTAGAACCAAATATACTGTACATATTGGATGGCCTAAGGGTAAGCAAATTTTAATTTTTGGGTGAACTTTATTCCTTCAAGTTCACAGGTTGGCAGAACAAGTTGAAAGTTCAAGTCGCACAACACTGTTCACTGTACATTGAGCACTGCAAGGTAATATCCTTACACCTGGAAAATTCTGAAGCACAGGAGATACAATGTGAGATTTGATAAAGGAAAATTCATTTATATGTTGAAAATAAGATTAAGTTCAAAGCTGATTAACTTCTTCCATTCCCTCTTAGATGGAGTGCAAAGTTCACATCTGATTTCACAAAGATGGATTTTGCTGGATTTGAGTGAGTTTAATTTCAAAAAACACTTCACTACATAAATCCATGATTGATAAAAATCAATGATCAACAAGATCATCTAAAGACCTTAGTTGGAGTCAAGACCACACCTTCCAAGACCCAGACCAAGATTAGTTCCCTTAAGGCTCAGATCCAGACCAAAACTCCAACTGAAGAGTTGAGCTAATCCATAGGTTCAATCAAATTTGATGTACTAATCTATACTGGAGCATATAAATATATATTAAAAAGTCTGAATATGAACCAGCATTTCGTTTTAATTTTCATCACTAACGCCACATATTTTGCTAGATTTACAAACATGCTGTATCCTCTTAAAGTGCTGGATTTTGTAGATAAACACACAGCAAAACAATCATATTAGGAGATGTATTCCAACACGCAAAAACCTGGCAGCGTTCCTTACCAAATGCCTACAATTTAGAGGAAAGAGGTGATTTAGGTGCTCGCATGTTTGGCAGCTGCAGCTCCAGTTCTCGCAAAGTTCATCTTTCAGAATCTTTTAGCATAAAATGTCTGCTAAATTTGAGGTATACATTCCTTAATAAATTTGATTAGTGTTGCGGTTTTCCCTGGAAATGCACATTTGATACAAGCAACACGAGTCAAAATGTTTCAATCCGTTCATTTAGAAGACCAGAGGAGAAAAAGCCACAAGAGAGAAGATGAGTTCTCCACATTAAAAGAAAAAGAACAACTTCTTCCCTTGATTTCAATCTCACACTTCTTCACCATCCTTCCTGCTCTTTCACTTTCCATAAAATAAATACACAAAACGCAGAATACTTTTTACATCTGTTGTAACTCAAAGTTCAAACAGGCTGCTAATCCCCAGTAACTCGACTCAGATTTCTCAAGCAGGCAGTACATACTTCACTACATACTTCATAGTGCTGGCACTGAGGGTTCTCACATCATAGACATCACCCTTCGCTACCTCACGAATCTGACAGACTATATTTGAGAACTATTTGTAAGTACAAAATTGTTTAGACGGACTCAGTTGGCTGTATATGAACAATTTCTATGACTAATCTTTATTTACTCATTGTTTAGATGGATTTCAGGACATAATTCATGTCCATTAGCATGTGGCCTGCGTGTTTGTCCACCCTTCAGAAAGCATTGCGTCAGAAGAAGGGGGAAGCCCCGGTCTGCAAGTCAGAGCTGGGACAACCTCTCCCGTTCACACCCCAACAATCACAGTCAAAACAACGTCGGAGAGAGTGTGTGACTGAGAGAGAGATCATTGAACTGAAAAACCAACAAACTGACAGATAAATGAAGGTGATTTTAGTGTAATTACTACCAAGGTGGTGATACGTATAACCATGCTCTGTAAGGCTTTGGAAATCACGAGGGTCCCACAAAACTAATAATAATTAGCTGTTCGGATGGACAGCAATGCACCTCCTGTCGTTTCACTGTCGGACAAAGGGAGATTTTGCTTTCATGTAGTCATCTGTGCCACACATTTAAAAGCACATTTGCTTTTTAAAGCACCCCCAGGTAATGTTCCCTCAATAAATGGAAAAACAGAAAAATGCATAACATCTGTAACTTCCCAGACTTATAAAGTATTCCGTCTATTTATCTATATATCTATTTGTCTGTCATCTGTCACTCCCTCTGTGCAATGTAGATGCAGAACAAAGTTTGATTTGTCTGAAAAAGTCACATCTAATTAAACTAAACTGGATTTTTTGATTGTCCAAAATTAAAAATATTTATCTATCTATCTATCTATTGTGGAACCAAGGTAATGGTATCAAAGTAATAATATGCTACTTTTATATACATCACTGTAGTAATAATAATAATAATAATTATTATTATTATTTTTATATATATATAT